ATTACATCGCACGGGTGGACGAGCCGCAGTCGTGCTCGTACGTGCTGACCGTTCACACCACGCGCATCTGCCACCACCCGTTCCTGCGGCCGGCCGCTGGCCTGGCCCCGCTGCCCATCCGCTGCCAGCCCGCGCTGCCCCCCGCGCAGTACGTGCAGTACGTGCGGGCACAAGTGTGTGAGTGACCACAGGCAAGGGGACGGGGATGGGGATGGGGACGGGGATGGGGACAGGGAGGGTGGGCATTGAGCCCAGAGTGGCACTGACCCCTGTCCCCAGGGCTGGCACTGATCCCTGTCCCAGGGTGGCACTGACCCCTGGGGTGGGGCTCACACTGACCCCTGTCCCAGGGCTGGTGCTGACCCCAGAGTGGCACTGACCCTTGGGGTGGGGCAGTCACTGTGTCCATTCTGTCCCCAGGATGGCGCTGACCCCTGGCGTGGGGCTGGCACTGACCCCAGAGTGGCACTGACCCCTGGCGTGGGGCTGGCACTGACCCCCTGGCTGGGGATGGCATGGGAACAGGGACAGGGACAGCGTGGGGACATGGGGACAGGGACATGGGGACAGGGGCAGGCACTGTCCCCAGAGTGGCACTGACCCCTGTCCCAGGGCTGGCACTGACCCTTGGGGTGGGGCTGGCACTGACCTCTGGGAGGGGCTGGCACTGACCCCAGAGTGGCACTGACGTCTGGCACGGGACTGGCACTGACCCCTGAGGTGGAGTTGGGGCTGTGTCCATTCTGTCCCCAGGCTGGCACAGACTCCAGGGTGGGGCTGGCACTGTGTCACTGTCCCAAGGCTGGCACTGACCCCTGGGGGGTGGCGGGCACTGTGTCCATTCTGTCCCCAGGCTGGCACTGACCTCTGGCGCAGGGTGGCACTGACCCCTGGAGTGGGGCTGGCACTGACCCCTGGGAGGGGCTGGCACTGACCCCAGAGTGGCACTGACCTCTGGAGTGGGGCTGGCACTGACCCCTGGAGTGGGACTGGCACTGACCCCTGGGGTGGGGCTGACGCTGTCCCCAGGCTGGCACTGACCCTGTCCCCAGACTGGCATTGACCCCTGGCGTGGGGCTGGTGCTGACCCCTGTCCCAGGCCTGGAGTTGTGTCCATTCTGTCCCCAGACTGGCACTGACCCCTGGCATGGGGGTGGCACTGACCCCTAGTGCGGGGCTGGCACTGTCCCCCTGTCCCCAGAGTGGCACTGACCCCTGTCCCCAGGGCTGGCATTGACCCTTGGGATGGGGCTGGCACTGACCCCTGGGGTGGGGTCCATTCTGTCCCCAGGATGGCACTGACCCCAGAGTGGCACTGACCTCTGGCACGGGGCTGGCACTGACCCCAGAGTGGCACTGACCCCTGGGGTGGGGTGGGCAGGCTGGACCCTGGGGTGGGGGCGGGTAGTGACCCCAGGATGGCACTGTGTCCATTCTGTCCCCAGGATGGCACTGACCCCTGGTATGGGGCTGGCACTGTCCCCTTCTGTCCCCAGAGTGGCTCTGACCCCTGTCCCCAGGCTGGCACTGTCCTCTCCAGCCTGGCCCTGTCCCCTCTTTCCCAGGCTGCCATTGTCCCCTTCATCCCAGCACTGTCCCTGTCCCCATCCCTGTCCCCCCAGAGGCAGCACTGTCCCCATCCCTGTTCCCACGGTGGCAGTGCTGTCCCCATCCCTGTCCCCATGTCCCCATCCCTGTCCCCGTGTCCCTATCCATGTCCTTGTCCCCATGGTGGTAGTGCTGTCCCTATGTCCCTGTCCCATCGGTGTCCCTGTCCCATGTCCCCATGTCCCCGTTGGTGTCCCTGTCCCCAGCTGACACCAAGCGCAAGGTGGAGGAGATCTCGGAGGAGCTGCGCACGTTGGACACGCGGCTCTGGAGTGACAGGGACAGCGCGGCCACCGCGGGGACACCCGGGGACACCCAGGACGGTACGGCCACTGTCCCATCCTGGCGGTGACACCACCGCCCGTGTCCCCCGCTGTGGGGACAGCTTGGAGCTCCCTGTGCCATCTGTGTCACCCCAGTGCCATCCGTGTCCCCCTGTGCCATCCGTGTCACCCTGTGCCATCCGTGTCACCCTGTGCCATCTGTGTCACCCTGTGCCATCTGTGTCCCCCGCTGTGGGGACAGCTTGGAGCTCCCTGTGCCATCTGTGACCCCCTGTGCCATCTGTGTCACCCCTATGCTATCTGTGTCACCTCCCGTGCCATCCGTGTTCCCCCCAGTGCCATCTGTGTCACCTCCCATGCCATCCGTGTCCCCCCCAGTGCCATCCATGTCCCACCGTGTGCCATCTGTGTCCCCCTGTGCCATCTGTGTCACCCCTGTGCCATCCATGTCACCTGTGCCATCTGTGTCACCCCCGTGCCATCTGTGTCCCCCTGTGCCATCTGTGTCACCTCCTGTGCCATCTGTGTCACCTCCTGTGCCATCTGTGTCACCTCCTGTGCCATCTGTGTCCCCCCTGTGCCATCTGTGTCCCCCGCTGTGGGGACAGCTTGGAGCTCCCTGTGCCATCTGTGTCACCCCTGTGCCATCTGTGTCCCTCCCTGTGACAAGTGTGCCCATTGTGCTGTGTGTGTCCCCCGTGCCATCTTTGTCCCCCTGTGCCATCTGTGTCCCCCCCAGTGCCATCTGTGTCATCTCTAGTGCCATCCATGTCACCCCTGTTCCATTCGTGTCCCCTCTGTGACAACTGTCCCTCCTTGTCACAAGTGTCCCACCTGTGCCATCTGTGTCCCCCTGTGCCATCTGTGTCACCCCTGTGCCATCCATGTCACCTGCCTTGTCCCATCCGTGTCCCCCCATGTGACAGCCATGTCCCCCCCTTGTCCCATCTGTGTCCCCCCTGTGCCATCCGTGTCCCCTCCTGTCCCCCTCTCCTGTCCCATCTGTGTCCCCTCCTGTCCCATCCATGTCCCCCCTGTGCCATCCATGTCCCCCCATGTGCCACCCATGTCCCCTCTGTGACAATTGTCCCTCCCTGTGACAGGGAACCCACCAGAGCCTGCCAAGGATGTGACAGTTGGGGACCAGGAGGTGACAGGGGCGGG